CTACGAAAATGCTTTCTTTGTGAGGGCATTTCACAAGTATTGGTGACTGATAATAAATTGAAGTCCTGAGCGATGGAAAGGAGGGCGTGGGTGGTTGGTATGATTTGCCGCCATTTCAAATCAGCCTCACGTTATTCCTGCTCAAACTTCATTGCAAGGAATTCAGTCAAGACAGTGAAATGTGCGATTGCATCAGCAAATCCAGAAGTATTGATTAGATGGCATACTACGAACCAATGGCTTTTGTCTCGCATAATGTATGAACCCTTTCGATTTCTACCAATAAAATAACCGCTACTTTTGTGACATGCCAGCTTCTTATCCTCCGGAATTCTGGTATGGAATTGTGAATATTTTGAGTAATATACTGATCAATGGGCTTCCTTACATCAAATGTATGTCAACGCTTTCGTTTCATAGAATAGCGCATTTCATACTATTCCAAATTTGATTGATACAAATTGAACTAGCAAGCCTGAAGTTGGGGAGGGTCATCTTAGTCGCTAACCAAGATTAATTTTTTGATAACCGTTTGTCGAATATTACTGCCCAATTCTTGGTTGACAGTTTGCTGATTATTCAATGGCAGATAAAATCCGTCGAACTAATACTTTCATCTTACGTGCACTTACCCTAGCATGACTTGTTCTTGTTCGTAAAATTAGCTGTATTTCATCTATCTTGTTTTAACTCGGGAGTCGTGTAGCTATTGAGGGATCGATCATGGATTCACAGGTCTGGCCACTGACATGTGAGAAAAATAAAGTGTTCCTCATTGAATTGAGAAATGTCACAGCTTTCTAACTTAAAGATTTCTCTTGAATACAAATGGGCCTTTCTAAGTTATGTGATAATGTTACACCACGATGTTTCCTCCTCGTTCTGATATGGGTTCATTTTTGGTAGAAAGAATTAAGAAGCTACTTGTGATTAATCTATCTGGTTCTTTGGCTTACGGGAAACTCATACCATCATGACATTTATAAGCAACCAGTAAAAGGCAACTTGCACCTCTTGTGCAAATTCGCATCCAACAGGGTCTGCATAGTTTCGTTCTGATGTGTGTTAGTTCGCGTGTGTACTACTAGCTCTGTGCTCTAGTCAATCATAGTTCACCGACTACCTCCGGATTAGGGGTTTGTGGCTTCTAACCCGAAAATTTACGACGCTAGTTCGGCCTGGGACACACAATAAGTAGGCGCTGCTGATGAGTCTTAGGGAAAACGAAATATTTGTATTGTGCTCTTAATCGATCATCACACCATGCCATCATCCATCAGTTAGCTTGCTTTGAAGTTCTACAGTGGCTACTTTTGTTCCGAAACCAACATTATCGGTCTATTAGTAGCCAATAAATGTGGAAGAAATAAGAGATTCTTTCACTTGGTCTGCTCAGAAAGAACTTGGCACCTTGCAGAATACCAGAAGCACCTATGTCAGGATAAGAATCCTTGCCGTCAAAGTATGTGCAACGTCTCCGATCAATGAAATGATTGTCGATCAACACGCAAAAAGACCGAAAGCCTTGATGCAGCCTCATCACACCGTTCTGATGGTTCAAACTTCCTGTCTAGAGCTGAAATTATTCAATGAACAAGATAGACGAGGGTATCACGTGTCAAGTGCTGAGAGCAATGTGTAAACAAATTTTTATCGTCTTCGGCAAACTTCTATGACGATCAACTGTAGCAAAAGCATGACAGATATACGGGCTAGCTGTTGGCATTCAATCTATTGGGGTTGCCTGTTTAATCATTCTCGCCAACTGGATTGCAAACATTTTCTGTCCTCCTAAACTATTACCGTATTCATTCTGTTTCAACTTTTCGTTTATTAAATTCTGTAGTATGGAATACGACGATTGGTTGAAATCGCCTCATCACGAGGAACCATGATTAAATAAGTGGTCGCCGGAAATCCCGGTCCATGGGCGAACCCATCGTACGAGACAACCGTGCGGGTGTCTGACAGATGGATCGACTGTTCGTGATTTCCGCCTTTATGTTTTGTGTACTGATGCTTCTGTTTGGTAGTAAATTAGTGCTCTGAAGATGAACATCATGAGGAAATATCCGAAGTCGAACTTTTTGGTAGTTCATTTTAATTCTTCTCGAGAGTTTTATACGTGCAATTAATGAAATTGAGGGTTACATGTATGTGAGTCAGTAACAATACTGTAGTTGGAATTCATTTAGATTGAGAAGAATGCACAGTGCATCAAAACTTGATCTGGACAGACACATCACATGGCTTTTGGCATGAAAATAGCATCACATAGTATCCGGTCGTTTGTTTTCCATTCGTCATGACTTACAAAAGGGTTCGCAGTTCTCTCTCTCCACTCGCCACTCGATTACCGAACAAATGACCACCAACCTACACAATTCGTTAATGAACGTGCGTTCAATAAGAAGGCGATTTTTTTCATTTCCCGGACCACGGAAAGGACAAGTGGACGTAAAATGATGATGAACTTTTGTATAGAACCTTTATTTACAAATATCTTATCTGATCGTTCATACACATACGCGTAAGTAAATCGGGTGAACCCAACCCTGGATAAATGCACTTTATGGTGTGGGGGTGCGGGTCAAATGAGTCGTCATTCTCGGTCGAGTGGAACGGTCCGAACAAATTCCAGTGTATGGAGGATGTCGCTTGGACAATTTGAAACACGGTAGATTTATTAATCAACAGTCGGAACCAATATACATACCTGGATAACCGAAAACTGTGAAAGTAAAACATGGTTCTGCGAAGGGATTCGGAAGATTTTCTTGCTTTTCGTATGAAAGTAGTAAGACACAACGACCAGTGCAGCTATATGTTTGGATTTTTATCGTAGTACCTACACATCAATAGTCATGGGTAAAAATAATTTATTCCGAACTTCATCTCGCACCGAAATGCGCCTAATTCTGTTGTGGCACTAACCGAATAGACTCGACCTTGGTTGTGAAGATAAAATTTAAAGTAGTTCGGAAGTTACAGCTCCCAAATAATAAAACTTTTGGTGTAACACGGCACAGAAGTTCACTGTACCAAGTTGGTGGAATCCATGCCAAAACAACTGACTCAAACGCTCAAACAGTAAAAAGAAGCACAAACAGAGAACATCTAATAACAATATCCGTGTTATAAATATTAGCCATTTTTATAAGTAGACATGATTTCAACTGATATTTAGTTATTTTACAACTGATGAACCATCAACTGTTGTGAAATTCGAGAAATCGTATGTTTATAGCGAGTCAGACTAAAAGAAGCTCTATGCAGATACTATCACAGATACGTTGTATCTGGTGTAGGATATTAGTATATCCATTCCGTAAATGAGGGTCTCAAAACGTTAAGCATCGAGCAGTTGAAAGTCACAGTTCCGCATGAGTTCGATTTATACATGTACGTATATTTCATGCTGATAAGCAAACACCGACAGTTTAGATCTACCAAATCTACTGGGATATGAAACCCTGAGCCGCAGAATTGTTGGTCCGAAGTGCTAATTTCGTGGACTGTCCAGACTGGCCCTCGGAAGTATGGTTATAAGTGAATACAGCCTGACTGAGCTCTACTTCCTCACTTAAAAATTTACTACCTTATCAGATACCCAAGAAAAATACACTTTCACAAAATATGGAGGGTTTTTCTTCCCGGTTCGAACCACCCTATAAGTTGAGACTCGAACTCAGTAGAGTACCAACAAACTTATAGCATGAATAGGAGTGTGAAGAAAACAATAGACTGGGGTATGCGATTATCAACATTCATTATCTTGGTGATAGATTTCTAACGCACATTCCGAGCAAATATACTGCCGGTAGTATATTTGTCTCTAGTTGTGATTCAAATGTTTTGTAACGTGGATAGGTCAAATCTACAATCTCATACGGTGTCACTTAAGACACACTTTTCATGATATCGCCACCCTAATCCGGATCAAATAGTCACAGACAATAGGGTCATTGATCAACGCTACCGACATATTGTAAACAGTGTTGGCGAAATTCAATGTAAATCTTTAAGTGAGTCTTGAATTAAAGGTCATATTTGGTAGGACCGGATGTTTGGATGCTGTACGCCAAGTTGCTTACAGTACTACCACGTATGTTGAAAAGTGACAGGGCAGGAAAACGGGCTGTTTTTCGTCAAGATACATAAGTTTATGTCTCTTTGTTACATGAGGTTAATAACAGTCAATGACGCAATATTTCGGAATCAACATGATAAGTGCAAACAAAATCTAAAAATGTCTGAGTTAGTTGATTAGGCTCAGAGACTGTTTAGGTAGGCAGGTGAGTAGGTTCACCGTACTATTACCAACCGTCGGCGAGAGGATCGATCTGTGAGTGCAAGTTATATACTAGACCATGCAGATTCCTTTTTTCTCTTTAGCATTCCGAAGGATGCCAATATTGTTTATGACATCTATGTTTAGTTTGGTACCGTTAGATTTCGTTTCCACATCGGTTACAAGGATGCACTTTTCAGTGTAACCCGTTTTTTCCGTCAAGTTCTATAAAATTCAATTATAAATTGAGCTATAATTAAACACACTCTTTACCTTGTCCAATAATAGCAGTTGTTACCTGCATAATTGAAAAAATAGCTTCGGATTGGGGTCATGTTGAGGGGTCCGAAATAAGGTGTTGTTGTTGCTACCTAGTCAAGTTATCGTGGTAAAACCCTCTGCGCACGGAATACCATATAGTTCGCTATAGCTGCTGAACATGACAAATCAAAAACTGCATGCACGCATGGGCGTGACAATTCATTCACTGTCCAGACAATTCCAGCCTAATCCGTGAAAGGATGTGCAGTCGACCAATCCGATACGAGTACGGACACAAACCGGTCAACCAATCAGAGGCAATTTGTCCAGGGGCTCGCCAGCCTCGAACGCCTCAGGTGCAAGAATAAAATTGCGGATAGAGCAGTGTTGCCGGACCAAACGTTGTTTTGGGGTTTCGTGTTAACGTTGACGTGTATTCCACGCCGTCATGGTTGCGAAGGACTTTATAGATCTGTTCAGCAAACTAAGTTATGCCAATCGTGTGGCCGTCGAAGATTTTGCGGATCAACTCAACTTATTCACGGTCATCTTGTTTCTGATCGCATGTATTGTGGTCTCGGCGAAGCAGTACTTTTTGAATTCAATTTCTTGTTACATTGCGGTTAAACCCACGGGAGACAATTACAACAATTACCTGACCGACTTCTGCTGGGTTCATGGTACCATTCCGCTCCGCGCCAATGAGCCAATGCCGCAGACCCCAGAAATGTGGGACGAGTATGACAAAATTCGTCGAATCAGTGAGTTTAGCATCTAAAATTATTTTATCCTTGGCACTTTTCTGTACAGTTTGATTGTTTTGTAGTTCTCTTGTACTCTGGATGAGGAAAGGATTTTTTTAGTCCAGATGCAAACAGCTGTTCAAATTAAAAGATTCCATCTGATCGAGTTTTGCGTGCGTTCCGTCTGTGAACGAGGTAACCAGTTACCAGAACAATCAACTAGTTATTCCTAAAACGCATGGCCTCATTTCCATTTCCTACTCTCAATGCCTAACTCGCTTCAGACATTCCTAAGTTATTTCTCGCTATTCCGTATCGCAATGTCTGATACGTCGTCGTGCATCCGGTGTTGAGAGGTATGGTAATTATATTACCATTCTCACTTAACACCTTATTCATGTGTCATATACATAAAACGATAATTATTAGCCATATTTCTATATGGTATCCCCTATTTAAACCGGAAATAACTTGGATACGATGATCAACAATAACTGATCGAGAAATAAACATAAAAAGTTTGCGCCATCATCAGTAAATTTCACCTTGGTACTTAACTTAATATATATGTATATAGTGTTGTATTATTGTATTATAGATGACTTGTGCAGGCTACTGTGCCCACATTTCAGTCAAAAATATGTTCACCGTTACAATGAGATGAAAATGAAATGAAAATCCGTACAACAATGATAAAACTAAATAGGTAATCATCTTTGTAGATTTAAGATTAGTTTGTAACGGATCTTCACTGTGTCAGTAAGAATACGAGCCAGATGGGGAACCGTTGAGTTGCGGGAGGGTAAGCAGCGAAAATTGGATCAGGTTGTAGCATGGGGACGGCAAGTAGATAACTTGGGATTGAGCGGATGACTGGGGTAATTGAGTATCTTATGAGCGAAATTCTCACATGAAGTAATATGCGAATTACACAATTTTGTCATCAGATAGTTTAAAGGAATAAGAGAAACGCGGCTGATAATTACCAAACCGCGACCAAGAGTAATGAAATCCTTTCTAAATAACGGGCGAACAAAATCTAGAACAGGAAAAATGCATTGATAAGCAAGGGAACACAGTTTCATGCCTCACTCGAAATTGTCGTAGCTTGCGTATTTGAAAAGATAAGCAACGCAGTGTACCAACACAAGCTAGCATATGCGAGGCCGCCTTAGAGTGCTATCTATGGTGACTCCTAGGTATTTGTTGGTTTATGTTCTGGTAAGAGGTACCGAATTGATGACAGGGTTCCAAGGGATATTCGGATCGGGAAAGACTAAAAATACATTCGAAGCATTTAGAAGTAGTGAAGCGGAGACCGGATTGATTCGAGAATGATTGTACTTGTAATAAAATGTCGGAAAATGATTATATAGCCAATTGATTAGAAATAGCTTGACATAAGACTACATCATCTGCATACTTAAAGGTCTTTGCTGGTGAGCTTGAGGGTAAGTCACTGATGAAGGCTGAAATTAAGAAGCGGGAGAACACAGCACCCTGAAGAACTCCAGAATTATTCACTAAAGGTTTTGAAATAGTGCTGTTTGCTTTCGTTCGTTGAATCCTTCCTGTGAAATAATCTTTTAACCATGCTAATAAGTTGGTGGAACAACCGAATGACAGCAACTTTTACAGAAGAAGAGACTGTGGAACGGAGTCAAAGTGGAAGAATAGTCAAGAAAAACACAACTAATCGACTTTTGAGAATCATCTAAAGAATTGCAAATAAAGTGCATCATTGAAGGGACTGCATCCAAAGGGTGTCTATATGCCTGTACGCTTGCAAGGGGGTCACTAGGAACAATAATACCAGACTGCAAGCGTTCTGCGTGTTTTAGTCCAAAGGGGGTGATGGCCACAGGACCAAAGCGTTTAGCTAAAATGCTAGATGAAGAGGGTTTAGGAATAGGAACAATGGGGACAGGTCTCCAGGAACCCGGAGTCGAACATGTGTAAATGGATTGGTTGATAAGGGACGCAAACATCTGTGATGAAGATAGACTATCGGGGTCAACTGTGTTCGTGATTTTCGTAGTTTTAAGATGATAGACCTCTTTATGTGTGACTGGGTCTATGGTACATAGGTGATCTGTGGGGTACAGAGACAGGAGACCGTTTGAAGGATAAATGAATGCAGGATTGAGACTGCCCACGTGAATAATTTTGTTTGTTGACCGTTTCTTCTGTCCGCAAAGCAATCTGATCCCTTGTCATAACCGTCTTCCATCTCCAGCTCCCAGAACTTGCTTTGCGAATGAAGCATTCAGTCTTTTGATCTCTGTCCTGATTTGCGGTGTAAGTTGTTTGACAGTAGCTTTTTGACGCATCTTGAACGCTAGTTCTTTTTGTCTCATAAGAACTTTTAACCGCGGAGAGCATACGCTGCCAGTGTGATCACAAAGATTTCCATAGGATAGCATAGATTGCAAATCACTTTAGCTGGCTCTGTAAAATGTTCAACGGAACAGAGAGACTGTTGAACGGAAGGCCATGAGGAGATGATAGCAAGAGATTTCCTCGGTAGAAGAAGTCTGTTGATTGAAAAAGTCCGAATTGCTATAGTCGAGCCACGTCACGATAAACTAATCTGTATGCACTCGAAGGGTCAATTTCAACTGTTATCACGAGAATACTTTGGAAGTGATGAAAAAACGCAAGTGTGGTGAGGGTCAAGAAAAATGACAGCGCACAGCGAGCAAGAAGACGATAGTGATAGTTTAAAAGCACGAGATATACGTTGTATTCTCTACAACATACCGCACGCCGTTGAGGCTGCCTTCTGCCCCTTCATCATGTACACAGCATACCAGAAAATTAACTGCATTTTTTTGGTTTTATCCTTTCTAATTTGGTGAACATCTCTACTTAGGTAATAGCTCAAGTGGAGGGTTTGAAGAAGTGTTAGGGGTGTAAGTCATACGAAACCTAACTCAAGGAATCACCTCCCGAAAAGAAACTAAGGAGCTAAATAATTTCGCTTGAGTATTACCTGAAAAATCCAGCTTCGTAAATGTTTCTGATAATGCTGACTTCACACAATCCGTGGTCCAATGTGTAGATTACCATCCAGCGGAAGTTCCAGTTCAGAAGTTTAAGACTCACTGGCTTCAAAGAGCTGGAAATGTGCTACATTCTGGAGACACCCTAGTATGATAAGGAATCACATATGTGAACCAACTTAAGTAGAACCTCAAAATGGCGTTGAACGACCAGTGGTACTCGGTGTGACAACAGGGTGACAGCTGGAGAATTATTTACCAGTCAAATAAATTATCATGTGTCAAGATGCAGACTTGATAGTTGTTTCAAATTGATGACGTATTAAACAAAAACCTAATATGTTCTCGGAATCCACCGTTGGCTTTTTCATTTGCACAGTTGACAGAATAACGTCCATCTGCTCACTTCTCTGTCCGTGATCCGCAGGTGTGCAGTGCGGTACACCGCTTTGCTACTAGGAGTGGCCCGTGGTCACCGGATAACTGTCTGCCACATTACGGACACAATCAATTGACTGCATCATTTGAATACCCTATCTAACTTCTGATGGATTTTCTTCACGTTAACTATACAGAGGAATACAAAATATGTTATTTGGGGTAGCTGCGTGTTCGTGTGATGATAAGTAGGATGAAATTGATTTTGCAACGTTGGGTGTGTTGAACACACTAGGCTTAACAACTGTTCTAATAAAACCACATCTTGTCGCTAGTGCTCACTAAGCGCTACGGTTTGGTTTAAAATGAGTTTTCATTTTGTACTATACTTTCACCGTATTTCGCAAAACTGTTGCACTCTATTGACGTACAAGCAGCTGTGAGCGAATCGCGTCTCGCGCATTACTTCCTGCTAGAGATGCCTCAATACTCAATATTGTCTTTAGGAAATCTAAGTTCAAAGTGAACTGCTTTTTCCCATGCATCTATTCATTCACTTGTATTGGGCGCATGGATTGACCTGAATTACAGGCGTGGGTGATGTTGATAACGTTGGAAGCTTACTTTCAAAGTTGCTATTCATATCGGCAAATAGTCAAGTGGAACTGCATTCACTCCGATCTTGAAATCACCGATATTGTGTCCTCATACACATATACATGCGGTGCACTTCTTCAACCCGTGATACTCACGGATACATCCTTGTGTTTGTGCATCGCTGATCAACAAAAGACAAACAACAGCAAATTCACCAACCGTATCATGATGGTACCTGACTACAAGGTGAACCGTTGCATTTTCTCCATGTTCATGCTGACTGAATAAAAGGTTTGAAGAATGCTGATTTTGCGCAAAGCTATTCAATCGTCATTTAGGAACGGACTATGGTTGCGGATGAATTTTTGGGTTTTTTCGGAACCGTTCTAACTCCCAATGTGTTGGGCGCGGAAGATTTTGCAGATCGTTTAAACTTGTTCACCGTGGTTCTGTTCTTGTTGGCTGGTGCGGTGGTCACAGTGAAACAGTATGTGCTTCAATCCATATCATGCTACGTTTCCGTGTCCCCGACTGGGGCAAATTTCGAAGAGTTCCTTACCTCCTATTGTTGGGTGCATGGAACTATTCCATTAGGTGTCAAAGAGGAAATGCCTAATACTGACGAGGAATGGGATCGTTATGATAGATATCGTCGAATTTGTAAGTTTTTGGGCCCTATAAAAATCCGGACTTTCTCATTATCAACTACCGTGGCCATTCGTTTCAACTCCCTATTTGATCGAATCTTTTCTTCCGCTACTCTTCTATTTCATTGTCATATACCCTGAATACTTTGGAACAGGGTACCGTATATCCAACGGACCATTTTATGGTGAAATTTTTACATGGAAGTCTTTCCAATCACACTAAATAAGATCGTCTGATTTCCAATGGTATATAGGTTTGCTTAGCCCCGAGAGCTTTCCACTTCTCACGGACACAGTCGAGATTGCAGTGATATATTGCTTAATAGCAATAAAACATTCTTCAAAATTCACCATAGAGCCTTTAAATTGCTTCCAATTATATCACAAATCATCGTGTGACTATAGCTAAAACAACTTATTCTGGTTTGAGTAAATGCGGGAACTGATGTCCGTAAACGATGAATGACGATCAGTGCTATGATCTGATATGATTGAGTGACTCCAGAATAGCCTCTAGATTACAAATACCGTTTGGAAACCCGGAAAATAATCTCATGTAAATGAGCATTTGGTTGATTGAGAGTGGTGATGTGTTTTGCCACCCATTGAAGAGGAAATCGCGCGTATTTGAATCAGGTTGCTTGACATGCGTTAGAGTGGGACTGAAACAAACTGGATGCACAAAACTGACGGAAGATTGTATATTCATCCGGATCAGAATCCTCAGCCTAAAATGTCCATTCTAAAGCACTCATTTTCGGATCAATGGATTGCACTTTCCAGTGACAACGTTTCATGCAATTCAGCTTTTTAAAATAATTTACTGTGATTTGTGAGCTGTTCCGCGGTGATGGTAACCTCGACCCCAGTAATTTTACTGGTTTTGACCAAATTCTCGGAAATTTAACCATGTCTTTCATCGGTGATTTGCATTTCTTGTGCAGCGGTTCAAATTTCACAGCGCAGTATCTTCTTGTTCTATTTGATATCGATCCGGACCAATAAGTTAATCGTTAGTTCATCTTTGGCTTACTCGGTGGGAGTTTTTAAGGGATCAGGATATGAACATTCTAATCAACCAGTTCACATATGCGGAATTCGGGATAAACCTATTGCACGAATATTGATTCTGACTTTTCTAGGTTGTACACTACAGTTTTAGTCATTTATCAACGTGCGTTTCATATCTTAGACCTTCATGGACGTTTGCTGACTAATTCCTTTGCGCGTGGGTCTGCGGCAGATGTGTCCATTATCCTTGTTCTGAAACGACTGGCCGAGCTTGATCATTTTGCTTGGTAAACGGCAACTGGCTCAGTCTGCCGTCCGTCCACTGAATATCGCTGAAGTGGTTCGTCCGTTGTTCTGAGCGTGTGTACTAAACGGTGTTCACAGGCTTTAGCTGAAGTACATTCGGTCACGACAATGAGTGTCCTATTAGAGCGTATGCAATTCACCATTCGGTGTTCTCGTGGTTCTCATAATTTGACCGTGGGTTCTATGACGTTTGCCTATACATTAATGCACCCAAGGAGCAGAATGTTGCTTCGACCGAAAATTCAGGTGTGAGGCTCTCACACTCATATCGGCCGTTGAGCCGGTGCACACGTAGCTGGGATGCGGACCGTGAAGTGAACACCACAGTGCAAACATGTTTCACACTCCCCCCAAAAGCGAACAAAGCAGTGCGTCCGTGCGCGCGCACACGCATCCACACAGCTCGATCCGCAGACAAAGACGCGAGCTAGTTTCCGAGTATTGGTCACATTGTGCGTAGACGTCAATGACTCAGCCAACACGCGCACATGAAGACAATGCGCCCAGCGTCTACGCGCTGTTTCTCCCCAATTGCCGTGTAGAGAGATTAGACGATGACCAAGGTCAACACATCAGTCATTGGAATCTGATGTGTCTCAACGGATGGATTATCGAATGCTCACAAGCGATGAAACTGGTTTATCTGACTAGATGAACGATCCAGGCTGACCATACAGATCTTTAACCATAGGGATTCGAGAACAATAGAAAACCATGAATTTGTTTTATAGTTTGTTAGCGTGTATGATTTTTTAACTGAAATGTGAGCTGCAGTGCTTGCAAAAGTTATACACAATACACAATACGATACAATACAATCGCAGAACAAAAATAGTATAAGTCGAATCACAGGGTACACTGTTTTCTGTGGTTAGGTGTCCAGTGAGTCGAAAAGATTGATTCATTAATGATTTTGTCTCGAATCACAATTGCGCCTTAACGCCATATAGAAATGAACTACATGAGCGCACCAGAGTTCTTGATCCGATTGTCTCCCCCTCCAGGATGTTTCCGCTCTCTGTAACCCCAATGTTCATCACTGACTCGATGATGTCTGTTTCGTAACAGAATCAGACGGTACTAAATTGAGCGATCACACGTTGAACACATGCGCAAATGCAGAATGTATTCCCATATGCACGTGTACGCATTGAACCTACAGATGGGGCGATTTCACAGTTCTCTTTGGACCAATCTCGAGTATGAAATAATGCAGCAACTGCTTTCCGCGCACTCCCATTTCGGCAATTTCTCACAAACTCGCCTATATAGCATCTCTAAATTTGGTGAGCGACTGTGTTTCCTTATCTCCCATATGGATTCAAACGATGACTTGGTAAGATTGATTTTATCCGACATAAGGTGCCTGAAATATACGAAGTACCTATAACGAAAATAATAAGCACTGAAGGACAAGTGCACGTTGTAGCTTGATAGTTAGACTGAATAAGTTACCCACACAGTCAGAGGGTTACTTGGTGATGGCACTGAGCTATTTTCAAATGATGCGTATCTTGTGAACTAAATTCACTTGATCCATTGTATCAAATTGCGAACTCGTACCTTTCTTCCAACCAATACATCACGTTCGAAAGATGTCTGGGTACGGAGCGTAAGTGTTACGGTGATGATCGAAGGAATTCGGTGCTTACAGAAAGTCACGATCCATTTCAAAATGATTCAGGCTTAGATACATCTAAGAAGAACAAGCAAAATACGAAGAAAACATTTTTTCAAAGTTCAACTGACAATTTCAACTTACTGTTTCAAAGTTGCAAAGGTTCACGCAAATAAACACTTTTGTTCCTCTCACGTAGGAAGTATTCCAAGCGGCAATGTACCCGCGATATCGAACAGAAGGGGCGACTAAACGCCACATCGAATCGGTTGGATCCAAATTCATATAGGATGGGATAAAATGATATCCAAGGATGGGTAACTGTCTACTTGGATGGTTCGAACAAACTCATTAGTTCCCGCTTATTGTGCGAAATAGAAAGCTGGACTCCAGTCGCCAAATCATTAATAATGGATCTGTGATGGTTACATTTACTAGTTTCACAGACGACCAATCACAACTAGAGATTCTCGAACGAAAGGAAGTAACTAATTTGTACCTTGGAAGTTTGAACCTCAGTACACGCGTATAACTATTTTGTGAAATATTTATTGTATTAAATTTCGAAACATCACTAATTGGCTTGCTCACAACCCTATTTTGTACCCCATTGAAACTGTTTGTGGTTTGTTAGCAAGGCGGATCCTTGTAAATGGAACAGTTTATAGCATCAGTTTCGCATTGAGGCTTAGTTTCCATACTCAATGGCCGATAATAATAATAATGCTAATTCGAAGTATTATTCTAAATACGGCTGATTGATATTTCTCGGTTCTGAGCAAAAATTTCGTATTCAATTAACAGGTGGTCCTTAATCAATAAACCGGAAGTGTACCATAGCCTTTCATACAACTGAGATACATTATCATGGAGTAAATCAGTTTTGGCAAACCAACGTTTAAAGCGGTGTGTGAGACCAATCGAGGTATGTGACGGTACATTTAGTCACAAATTTCATGTTCCTACGCTTTCGTGTTCGCGTGAAATCACAAAAACTGTGCGCTAAAAGAGCCGCATTGTCACAGACTCGGTACAACTGGAGAAAATTCACTATACTTTCCGGGGATGATGTTCACTTTTATGATGTAATCTCACTAAATTGAGTTGGTAAAATTTTCATTTCATGCATATAGTTTCTTTCCTCAACTAACTGTACTTCAGTCTTATCTGTCAATGATTTTTCATTTTCGAGCTTTTAATGGCCGAATGATGCTGTCTAC